ACTTGCTTAAGTAACCTGTGTAAAACTGGTGCTGCTCGTTGCTGTCTGACAAAAAAGCACCAAAGCTGCATTCTTGAATGATCCAGCTTGATTTTAATCCTGCGAGAAGTAAGAATGGTAGGAAATAAATTTGCAGTACAGTATCTCGGCTTTCAACTCCGGGTACTTATGTATGACTTGACTTACCAATATGACTTCATATTATTTTTCTTAAAGAATATAAAAAACAAGAACAAAAACCTGCTCATTTTTGTATGAAGAATGGCCAGATTGGCCCTCAAAGCATGTCCTGCTCAGTCTTCTTAGAATTCATCATAAGGAACCAAGACTAAATGGAAGTGAAATTTTAAGATGAAACTATATTGAGTTGTTGAATTGGATTTTTTACTTGCAAACCTGAAATTTGTTTGAAAATCATGCACAAAGCAGGAGTATTCATATATACATTAAAAATCTACCCTTATTGTTAGTATTCAACATAAAACGTGACATAGAGTTTCACAATCAAACACCATAAACAAATGTCTTCTATCCATCTTATATCACACAAGATCTGGGTTGGATCCAGATTTAGATGTGTACATTGGAGCTGATGGAAGTGGACTTCGCTCTCTCTTTACTTGCCAAAATAACTTATCTTTCCTTGCAAAAGCCTAACAGAAGGTTGGGAAACCCGATGAATGGGATAATTCATGGAGTCCAGAGTTTTGAGGGAAGATCCTGAAAACTAAGTGGAAATGCTTTCCACAAGTGGAGCTTTTCAAAGAGGCTGAAAAATCTGCCATGGGAAGGAAAGTACAAAAAAGTCTGCATCTATTAGTTTTGTTGTATTGTCCAAAACTCTAACCAGCTCTAAACGAAAGTCAAAAGTAACAATTCAGGTGCATTTTTTAAAAAAAGGTTCCCTAATGGACAGCAGGCACAAAACCTTGTTATTCATGTAATGAGAAGGACCAAAGTGCTAGTAATTACTCAACTGTTTCTTCCAAAGGCAAACATTAGCCAAAAGATCCACTCCTGATATAACCCAATAACACTTAGTAATCTTTAGGCGAACAGGAACTGTTTTCCCTTTAGATTTTATCGGGGGGGGGGAGGGTTCAACATTTTATTCACTGAAAGGAAGATTTATCACTCTCACCTGAAGGCTGAATTCCAGTGAAACGTAGAACTGTGATACAAAAATCAGTGGGCTACTAAAATGTAATGTGACCTGGGAAATATTTGAAGGAGATCCTTTCAAAAACAAACAAATAAATGAAAATACCTCCAGTTCCTCAACCTTCCTCCCCAGGCCTTTCAGATGATCAGGCTAAAATTTCTTCCTTTTTCTAAACATGATGAGTTAAACTAAACATGGGAAGAATACTTTCACAAAAACATTCTCTACTTAAAAAACAAAACAAAACACTCTAGAATTAATCCATCAGGCCAACAGAACGTTTTGATGTTGCTCAGTTCCAAATATTCCTAAGAAAAGTGGTAGGAAACCCCCTATGCGGTTTGGCTTTCTTAGTCCCAAGTTGCCAATATGGAGACCTCTGCATAGAAAATGCTGCCAACACAATTTGGATCTCAGTGATTTTTTTTCACAATGATTTATGGGAAGCTACACCTAACTATGCAGGTTATACTTTATCTGGCCACTAATGAGTTACCACGGGACTGAATTACCGTGGCTCTGCTGGTAATGTGACTTTTTGTTTTGGGGGTATTGTTTTAACCAGGGGATTAGGGGTTATATGTTGTGGTGGTAGTTTTAATCTTTGTATGTCACCCAGAGTCACTGCTGTGAGACTGGGGGAGGGGGGGGGGCTTATAAATCATTTAAATAAATAAATAAATTTTTAAAAAGCCAAGATCCAGAGATTAAGACAAGGGTTGACTTACGTAATGGAAAATTAACTATGGAAAGCCCACATATTTGAGTACTCACATTCTAAAAGCAAGCCACACAATATACTGCCAGGGCTACTTGCCAAGGTATTTGCAATTATTTGTATTATTAACATGGGCAATGAAAATTAACCATAGATGAATTTCTTACGGAAGCACAAAGAGTCAGACACGAGTCTGAAAAAGGAGTCTTTTGTGATCATCTCTTCACTTGCATAAAAAAAAAAAGCTTAATTTTTAGACCTAAATCTATTTATTATATGCATGAAGGGAAAGTTACACATTTTCTCACTGATTTCTATAGAAAATTTAAGCATGAGCTTAGGGGTTCATTGCATTTTCTGTGGGTGCGGAGCATGAAAGTTCCTATCGTGCTTTCTCACAGGATATTAAGATCCCACTAAGCTTTTCTTTTTATGAGAAGCCCGGCATCACACTGGGTGCAATGCCAGCCAGGAGTAAAAGGAAGCACAGTGCTTGATGAAACTCACCACATCATCTCAATAAGAGGAATAATATTTGGAAAACTAGGTGGCTTCTGAGCTGAGTGGTAGTGAGACAGTATAACCCCTCTTTCCCAAATCTTTCCTTGTTCACATAGAGAATTCCCACAAAGAAAGCAGGACTGTGGTCTAAATCTCTCCTTTGGAAATCAATGGCCTTAAGAACTGTTAATGAATGTTAGATTTTGTTTTTGAGAGACCCTGGAGGGATCCTAGTGGTACTGATCAGAAGGCAATGCACAGTTATTCCAGGTCTTCCTCATTTACAGAGGTTCTCTGGCAAAAAATAATGATGGGAGAAGTAGTGGGAAAAGATGGGAGGATTAAAAATGATGAATGGAGACTTTGCAAAATTCCCTGAGTGATTGAATAATAAAAAATTTGGCTGGAAACATTATTTTCTCTCTGTCTCTTGCAGCTTCCCACGTATTCTAAAAAAAATCTGCTCCAGAAAGCTAAAGGGAGAGGAAAGGCTGGGTAGTCAGGATAAAGGACTCTTGAGTTTTGAGAAGTTGGGTGGTACAGAATTACTTTATTGGAGTGAATGAATGAATGAATGAAATTGCCTTTTTCTCAGCTCTGGTGATGGTAGCAATTTCATTACTTCATTAAATTTCATCCCTTGAATTTTAGCTAATAGATGTCCCAAAGCAGTATTAAAAATGGAGATGTATCCTTGAAGAATTGTATTTATGAAAAGCTGGACAATTCATTTCTAAAGTAACTTAAAGTGACATCAAAATCTTAAATGAGTGGAATTATATAATTATATGTTAATGAAAATTAATGGAAGATGATTGATGATAATAAACAGCTCAAGAGGTCCAAACTTAAAGAACAGTAAATTTCCCTTTGAATATTGTAATATAGTTAAAGAAATATTGATGAATTTCTGATGAACCTAGCTAAGTCATGTATATATAAAAAATTCTGAATAAATAAGCTATGTGTAGAATTGATTAAAGTTTTTCATTGCACAGATGTGTGAGATCAAATCAGATCAAATCTTTATTACAGTCATACACCAGGATAAGGAAGGTGGGGTACAGTCATTAAAAAAGTATAAAGGATACATCAAGAATAAAAATAAAAATCTAAATCTAAAAAAAAGAGATTTAAGTAACTCTCTAACTCTTCCATGAAAATAAATGAGATGTGAAATTTAAATTTGGCTGGATTGCAAACTAAAATATTGGAAGTTGTTATAATAAACATTTCATAGGAAAATTACCACAATTTTTATATTGCCTGAAATTCATATTGAGATACTAGATTAAAGGGAAGGAGTATCAAGACTCTTCCCCAAATAAGTCTTTTGGCTTCAGGGACTTAGTTTTCCATCTGTAATCTACTAAAGGTATGGGAATGGGTTTCTAAAACTGTTTAAACTGCTGTTGTATTGAGTCTTTCCATCTAGATTGTTTTATTTCAGTTACGGTGTTCCATGATTTTGCAAGTTGCACTGGAAGGGCTTTGCCCTGAAAGGTAGAATACAAGTATTTAAAATGGTTAGCTAATTAATTATTTATCATATTATATACCATTTAATTTGGTATTTCTTAAAACTGGGGTTGCCAATCTAGCCCTTTATAAATCAACAATTAAATTGTAAGTGGCTTAATAAGTGATTGAAAAATTGTTCAGTTGTTCCCAAGGAGTGATGCAAGTATTTTACTTCAGTTACTTCCCTTACTGCTCTGGAGTGGAAGGGGTGTCTATCCATTACCCAGACAATTTTTAAAAAGTTCCATAAATAACCAGGTTCTAACCAGTAAGCAGGTTCTAAATCTGGCTTTAATGAACCAGACTGAATTTCTCCTCAAAGTAATACAATAGATGCAATTTGAAGCCACAATGACAATAGCTGACATGCATCACCAAGAAAAATTGGGAAAAGAAAATGGCTCTAGAGCTGGTTGGACAGGATTCAAGACTGTGCAATGCCTTGATCCTTCATAAAAAACTTCAACCTCTAATGAGTTACAAAGTAATAAAAAATTGAGTTACAAACCAAGTAAAATGAGTGCATCTACTTTTCATGTGAATGCTAGTATTAGAGTGTGCAAAACACTGCAATTTTGACAAACCTAAGTCATCAATATCTCATTTAGAGAGCATTAACATTTGAGAGATGACTTGATCTACATTTAACGCTGCAAGTTAGCTCCCATCCCATTTGAGCCAGTATCACCAGTTTCTAAATACTGAAGAATAGAATGGCTCTTGAATCACACAGGTCTCCCAATGGACACAGTTGTAATATAAGCTAAAGAGCTGTGGAGCATCTTCTACTAATATTCCCTGAAATTCTGCTATGAATAATGAATATTTAATTGCAAGCCTGTATTTTTTTCTATGAGTTAGAAAAATAAAAACATTCAGAATATGAGGCTAATGTTAAACTCCAGGGCCAACATATCTAGAATGACCTTAATGGCCAATTATGGTCTGTTGGCATTCAATATGTACAATATTAAAATATGTGGATTTATTTGCAAAGGTATGAAAATAGTAAACTGTCAGTTTAACTTTTTAGTAAGAGTTGCTCGTGTTTTGAAAAGAACACTACAATATATGTGTTGTATATTACACAAGACCTACCTCTTTGCTTTCTTCCAAATCTGACTCACTGCTAAACTCCTCCGTATTTAAATTTTCAAAATCTGATTCTCCAACAGCAATGGGTACTGTCACAGTTACACTTGGATTATTTATGAATGACATGTAATCGCTTTCATCAATGATGTATTTTTCCACGCTGCTTCCTATGCCACTGGTAGTCCCATTGCCATCTTTCAGATAGTTAAAATCTTTGCCAATATCTACTATCATATGATTAGAAACGCAACTGTCTTTCTTATTGTTTAGATCTTCAAGGGGCTTGATTTCATCCAAAGCCTTTTGTTTTCTCACAAATGCCTTTTCTACAAATTCATTAGCTTTTCTTTTTACAAAATCTATTCCTTTCTGAATCCTCGCCACTGCAATCTGGAGGTTGTTCATTTCATTATCATCATCTGTAGCAGCAAGATTGTCTGAACTGAAGGAGCTCAAGAGCAAGGCCAGAAAAAGATTCAAAACCTATTAAAAAAAAAAGAAAGGTCACTCAATTTATCATGCTATTGACCACATTGTTTGAATATGTTGGTGTAAGTGTTGTTTCATCTTGATTACGCTCATATCAGACTATTTTAATGCCTATGTTCTGCTTCCTAATCTGACATATTTTTGAACATAAGGAACCAACACTGAATTAGATCAACATTCTTATTAACCCACTTCTGTGTTAGGTGATATTCTCTAGCAGAAGATGTATTAATTTGACTATTTAAGATTCCCTAACACTGTATTGACTAAGCACAATGATTCAGATTTACAGATCATGGTTTGTACTTTTGATCTAATGTTACTATCTTTCTGGAGGTGGAAAGATGTTCTCTACCTGGAGCATAGACACCATAGAGTTCACTGGATCAGTGATCTGACTTCATATAAGGCAGCTTCTTGTGTTTCCATGTTAAAATGGGGTAATAAGGCCATGACAATTATAATAGAAATGCCCTTTAAAAAAAACCCTACTCTTTCTGACAATGGAAGTGGAAAGATTTTTCTACATGTACAGTAGGGCAGGGAAATATGTACATATATTTAAATTCAATGAATTGCATGACTTGTTGAATAGCATAGAAAAGTAAAAAAAAATACTATCTAAACTGGTTTAAACTTCTGTTAAGTGTCAATATTTAAAGAATCCAGTTGTAATGCTCTATTTGCCTTAAGTTGGCATTTGTTTGATACATACCACTAAATTGCCAATCACCATGACCATCATGAAAACAGTAAGGCACATGGGTTGTCCAGCAACCTCCATACAGTCCCACATAGTCTCTATCCATTCGCCACAAAGAACTCGAAAGACAATCAAGAAAGAATGAAAAAAGTCATTCATGTGCCAGCGTGGGAGTTCACAATCATTAGAGATCTTGCAGACACATTCCTTGTAGTTTTTGCCAAACAACTGCATTCCAACCACGGCAAAAATGAAGACAATGATAGCCAAAACCAAGGTCAAATTTCCCAAGGCACCTACTGAGTTGCCAATAATCTTTATCAACATGTTTAATGTTGGCCAAGATTTTGCCAATTTGAAAACTCGAAGCTGAAAAAAATAAAAGTACACAGGCATCAGTATCAGTGTTAATTACTTTTGATTTTTATTAATAACAGAAAAGAGTTATTTTATGCAGAAATTCTGTTCCTGACAATGGACACTGGATTTAGAAATCCATGTGAGGGTCCTCCTGAGCATGCAAAACCAATATGTATTGGTGGCTTAAGTAACTGTGTTTGAGACTCAAGATGTGTACAGACTTATTTTGGAAAAGGTCTTATTGGTCTTGATGAATTTAATTCCTAAGAAAATACTAACCAGATGTGCTGTTATATTCTTCATGCAATTAGCTATTGACTTATTTTATTGTTGCATAAAATTCAGATAAAAGAAATAAAATATACAATATGTATATTCACAATTTGATTACTCTGAATATATAATGTGATCAAAATGTTTCTTGAAACCTCCTATGGATATTTACCAATCTGAAGGATCTTAGGACTGATAATCCTTCCACATTTGCAAGACCCAACTCCATCAAGCTCAGGCTGACTATGATGCCATCAAAAATATTCCATCCTTCTTGGAAATAATAATAAGGATCCATGGCAATTATCTTGAGAAACATTTCTGCTGTGAAAATGCCAGTAAACACCTGCACACAAAAAACATCATTTGTCATCAGTCCTAAATAACACTGAGTGGTCTATTCATAAAAATGTTGTTGAGAAAGATAAAGGGAAGACAGCAGCAGGAGGACATAAAAAATTAATAATAAATAAATAAATAAAAATAAATAAATAAATAAATGTAAAAAATACACCTCCAACTGAACACCTTGATATTTTGAGAAATGGGAAATCTGTATTCTGATATGTGTATACACACCATTTTTCTATAATCCTTATCACTAGGCATAAGATTCAGTCTCAGATATTCCCTGCTCATAAAGAAGCTATCTCATAAGAGGTCAGGCTATTTGTTTACCTCAGTGTTGTCCAAACTTGGCCACTTTAAGATGAGTGGACTTCAACTCCCAGAATTCCCC